GTCAAAATTTTCTATCTTCTATCCCTTTCTCAATTTCTATCTGTGAAAAATAAGTAAGGTATAGGGTAGTAATACAGTTTAGGAAAAACTTAGAAGTGTAAGATTGTGTAGGAAAAAGTAAGGCAACTAGACAGAAAAACTCTTCAGTTTTCTCACTTTGGGAGCTATAAATGCAAACTGGGGGAAAAAAACCTTTCTTTGGGCTTTATGGGTAGTAAAAAATCTCTTCTCTGAGCTCTTGGGGAAGAAAAAGTTTCCTATGGAAGCTTTTGACCTGGGGACAGCTGAAATGCTAAGTCCAAGCAGCAGGAGAAAGTGCTTTCTCCCTGGGGCAAAAATGGGGGTGTAAAAAGCCAAAACGTTTGAAGTTCAGAAGTTTTGGGAAAAGTTGGTCTCTCTCCTGAGGGTAAAAAATCTTTCTCTTAAACTATAAAGCTTTTCTTGGAAAACTTGGGCGGGAGGGAATCTCTCTAAAAAGGCTTAATCTTTCTCAAAAGTTCTCTTAAACTTAAAAACTAAAGCCTTTAACTTTCTCTCTCAGAAGGACAAAAATTAGAATCGCCTGAAGATATTAGTATGGGGACCACCTGTGATTAGCTCTAAGGGAAAACAAGTTTAAGACAACAAAGCCTAAGTTCTTTCAAGCTTTAACAATCCTCCCTGCATGCTGGGCGGTGGTGGCGCATGCCTTTAATCCCAGCGCTCAGGAGGCAGAGCCAGGCGGATCGCTGTGAGTTCAAGGCCAGCCTGGGCTACCAAGTGAGCTCCAGGAAAGGCGCAAAACTACATAGAGAAACCCTGTCTCCAAAAACTAAAACAAAAAAAAACAAAAAAACAAAAAACAAAAACAAACAAACAACAAAAAAACAAAAAACAATCCTCCCTGCAATGCAGGAGACGGGGACAAGTTCCTAAAATCCTCTTCTAAGCTCTGTCTCTTCAAGCTAGTAAAAGACAGTGGGTCAGAGTCCCCTGAAGGAAACGCTTGGGAGAGTGGGTTAAGAGCTACAGAGAGCCCAAAGAGGCAGGAAACTTTGCCTAAGAAAAGCAGAAAAACCAAGCTTTTCAGTTACAGCTGAGCTGAGGCATCAAGAGTTTTGTTTGAGTGAGCATTTCAGGATGAAAAGGTGCTCCTAATCGTCCTAAAGCAAAGATCCCCTGAAGCAATGCAAACTGTTATCATTGTATCCTTGCTTCTGAGCAAAAACCCAGAGGCGACTGGCCAGCGTCTCTGAGTTGGAGTGCATTTCGGGGATACTAGGATTCCTGCAGTTGCAAACTTCCTGGAACACAGAGTTGAGGCAGGAAGGTGCAGGATCCAGGGGAAGATTGCTAATGAACAAACAAAGCTAAAGCTGGTGGGAACGGCACAGTTGTCCACTTTCCTACAAGTCCCAGGTTGATAGGTCCACAACTGCAAAAAGAAATCTGAGAAAAAGCTTTCCTATCAGAGTAAGGACCTTTCTGGGAAAACAGTAAAGCTGAACTGTGTCTGAAGCAGTCAGGCTGCAGAGTCAGAACGCTGTCTGGGGAAAGAGCCCAGCCAGGGCAGAACAGAACTATCTAGGAGTAAAGCTTTCTTTTCTGTCAGAGAAAGCATCTCTTTTAGAAAAGCTTTGTTTCAACTGACTCCCATGAGATGAGGGAGTGTAGCCCTGAGGGGTGATTGCCTCTGGCATAAGCTCTGTCCTTGAGCACCCAGACAAGCAAACACAACCCACTGGGGGACTAGGCCAGGTGAAGGCCTGATGAAGCAAGGCACCTGTCCTAATGGGAGTTTAGAAATGGCAAAAACCTCCCTTGTTAGATTTTCAGTCTGTATGCAAACCACACAGACCCTGAAAACAGAAACGGACTAAAGCGCCTACCTTCAGTAGCAGGGAAAGCCACCACTACAGTGTCGGAAACTGTTTCTGGGGTAGAGGGGATAAACTGAGACCAAACTGGATACTGTCAGGGAGAAAGTCTCTGAAGAAACAGAGGGGACAGATTCCTCCCCAGAAAATGTATGACCTGACAAAGCTGCTAGAGTTTGAGGCAGATTCAAGGGGAGAAAATAAGCCCCTACCTCCAAAGGCAGAGGTACAGAGCTGCAGACAGATAGCTGAAGCTCTGCATCTGGAGAAGGAAGGAACAAGCAAAATGAGAATAAGATCAGTGGGAGAAAATCTCTCTGAAGGAGCTATGGAAAAGCTGTTGTACATGATCTTGTTTTTCACTGGCTAAAACAAACACAAGCCCCAAGGAAAGTTGCTATCAGAAATGCCAGCCTCAATGCGCGCTAACGAGGCAGGTGTGGTTCTGATTGGGGCCAGTGTCAACTGAAGGAGAGACACCTGTTAAAGCCAGCTGAGGAGCGAATAGAAACCTCCCAATGTGCCATAGCTGAAAATGTAAAGTGCTTGTTCAAATCTCCAGTTGCAAAAGCAAAAACCTTTGTTCAAACCTCCCAGGCAAGTCTAGTAAAAGAGAACCAGTTGACTCTCAGACCCGAAAAGAACTATGGGAAATGAATGATAT